TGACGTCCACCACCCAAGGACGTTCATCTTGGCGGGCTTCATCCTTGTCTAGTTTGGCTAGATCCTCGCTGGTAGCTGAATTTTTGGCATAGGTTGCGGGTGTCAAAACATGGAACATATTAAGTTTCTGGAAAGATCCTCATGTGAAAAGGTGAAGGTAAACAAACCAATGACTTTTCCGCTTTGATATTGTCCAGCACGCTCAGATGATCTGTGACCAAATGCTCTCATAGTACCTTGCGGCTTGTTGGGCGGTACCATCTTGACTGCATGATTTTGCTTGATTACACGCAGGGCTTCAGAGTGTTGCTGCATGATCTTGATAGCCCTTCAAAAGTCTTTCCAAAGTTTCACTTCTGCAGGGTCATTGCTGGCGGGGTCCTGCAGCAAGAATTGTCAGCCATGTGAATACAACATAAAGCTTGAGGGACTTGACCACTTTGTTGAACCTAGCAACACATATAAGCTTATTTCCAGCCAGATTCACAAGTAGAACAGTTCCATAGGTAACTACTTGCTCTTTCCTGTTCCCAAATTGAGGAACTTGGAAAACATCACAGTCCTCTGGCAAGCCAAACCGGTCTTTGATTCCTGCTTTAATTCTTTGACTGACACATTCTCTTTGAACATCCTGGACTGGATCCTGTTTGGCATTGTGTTGTTGAGCCTTCTTCCTCTTTTGGCACTCCGCAAGCTTTTGCTTTCTGAGGTCTGATACTGGTTTTGGCATCTACGTAAAAAAACATTGTTTTGATTAGTGGAATGCTCATCAAAAAATCAAGATTTCTTAATTTGTGTGGGGATGCAATGAAATAATGAATAAAGTGAATAAACAATGAGTGATTAAATATTTGATGGATTGAATGATTGAGTATGAATGACATGAATATATAAATTTATGAATAATTGTTTGAAGAAATGATTGATAAAGTAATTTCTTGAGGATTAAAATCAGGAAGCACCAAGATACATTTAGCAAAGGGTTAGGCTGGTAGTTGGGGGTCCCCTCGGTCACTTGCCCTGCCCTTCACGAGACATAAAAATCTCTGCATGTATCTCAAGTAATTCCGTCTTCCATGAGTCAATGTGAATAACCTTGAGCTGTAAATCTTTTGAAATAAGTGAATTTGCATTAATGAATAATTGTTTGAAGGAATGATTGATAAAGTAATTTCTTGAGGATTGAAATCAGGAAGCTCTGAGATACATTTAGCAAAGGGTTAGGCTGGTAGTTGGGGGTCCCCTCAGTCACTTGCCCTGCCCTTCACGAGACATAAACATCTCTGCATGTATCTCAAGTACTTCCGTCTTCAATAATTGTTTGTGAGTAAATCATGAGTGGTAAATGTTTTGAATTATATGAGTCTTCTTTTGCGATGAATGGAACAGATGTTTGAGAAATATTGATTGATTTATTAATCTACATTCAATTATTATCGGCTTCTTGTGGATTCTTCAAGGTTCTATTTCTTCTTGAGGATATAATATTTCTTCTTATATGTTCTGTATTGATCTTGGTGAAGTCAGGAACAAATGGGAAGACAAAGGAAGAACATGGATTACCTTGGTTGATTCAACAAATTGAAGAAAGCGGACAGAACAGATTTCAAGAATAATAAGATCAGAAGAATCAAATAACAAAGGACTGGTTAAATGCTTCCACTCAAATGGTGGCTGAGTTGTGGTCAGCCATTACACAATGTATACACATGTAGCCTTACACCTTACATTTGATATGTTTACATATCTCACATGTCAACATATGGTTCACACAGAGATTGTACCACGGAAAGGTTCATTACTCAAGAACCAATCATAGTTGACATGTAGTTACCGGGGCCTAGACTGTCTTAGGCCCCGGCCCGACCTTCTCCAAGGTAAGGCCACCTGGCAATGAGGTGGCCTTACTGATCAATCGAATGGGCCACCCAATTCCTAGGTGGCCTTACCTTAAAAGTAAGGCCACCTAGGAATTAGGTGGCCCCTCCATTGCACGATCACTCAGTGATCGTGCAATGGAGAATCCAGGGCCGAGGCCGCAGCTTGGCCCTGGACCGATCCGCAATGCCATCGCACTATCCCTGAGTGATAGTGCGATGGCACGGCCACCTAATTCCTAGGTGGCCTTACCTTAAAAGTAAGGCCACCTAGGAATTAGGTGGCCCCTCCATTGCACGATCACTCAGTGATCGTGCGATGGAGGAATCCAGGGCCAAGGCCGCACCTCGGCCCTGGACCAATCCGCAATGCCATCGCACTATCACTGAGTGATAGTGCGATGGCACGGCCTACCTAATTCCTAGCGTGGCCTTTCTTTTAAGGTAAGGCGGCCAATTTAGGTGGCCCCTGAATTTCACGGTCAAATGGGCCACCTAGGAATTAGGTGATCGTGTGATGGAGGAATCCAGGGCCGATGCCTCAGCTTGGCCCTGGACCGATCCGCAATGCCATCGCACTATCACTGAGTGATAGTGCGATGGCACGGCCACCTAATTCCTAGGTGGCCTTACTTTTAAGGTAAGGCCACCTAGCTAGGTGGCCTGGATGTTCCAGCCAGACCACCTAGCAGCTCAGGTAGGTGGACTTTCTGGCTGGAACATCCGCATATTTTTTTTTCTTAATTTTTTTTTCAAAATTATAATTCAAATAAAAAAAATTAAATTTATATATCTGATTCAAAAAAAATTTCTTTTCGGAATTAAATAAGATGGATTTCCTTTTCGGAGTTAAATAAGATGAAACTTATAGTTTTATAGGGAAATGAATTTTTTTTACCGTTAAAATCAAAATATCATAAATATGTACATTGAAACGCATTGGTACAATCACTGCCAGCATAGATGCCTTGGGTTGAGAAATCCGAGGTATCATCGGAGGCAAATCCTCGGACAGACCTTGTCCGTGGTTTTTGCCCAAGGTATTTCTTTGCCCTGAGAATTACCTCGGATCAAAACCTCGGGAAGCTTCTGTCTGAGGTTTTGCATCCGAGGATACCTTGGATTTTGTAATCCAAGGTAAATATGTTGGTGGTGAATTTGTTTGAAAGGAATATTCGGTTTAATTACTCATCCATTTTTATATATGTATTGATATACATATATAAAATATATATTGCAACATTTCAATTACAACATGTTTGAAATGTTTGTCCAATATGTTTGGCTTTTGTTAACGAAAAAAAAACTACATATTGAAACAATTGTCTGCCTATTGTTAAAGAAATAAATATATACTGGAAGAGTTGCATCAAAATATGATTGAAAGCATTGTTCGGTAGTATATTTTGGTAATATACTCAATTTATGTATTCTTTTGTTAATGAAAAAAAAATTATATCATGGATCGGTTTGAGTAAGATGTGTTTGAAATTTTTTTGGTTGAGATACTCATCATCCCAACTGTTTTTTTTTCCTTTTGTTAATGAAAAAAAAATTGAAACAGACTCATTCATCAGATATTTTTGCTGGCATGTTGGTGTGTAGTTGGTGATGGAGACAGAAGGTGATTTGATGAGGATTGCAGAAGATTGAGGACGGTCGAAGAAGATTCAGGATAATCAAAGAAGATTGAGGACGGTCAAAGAAGATCAAGGACGGTTGACAAAGATTGAGGAAGATCGAGGACAGTTGACAAAGAAATAAGAAGATTGAGGACGGTTGATGAAGAAAGAAGAAGTTCAAGGACGGTCGACGAAGAAAGAAGAAGATCGAGGACAGTTGACAGATATTGAGGAAGATCAAGGACGGTTGACAAAGATTAAGGAAGATCGAGGACAGTTGACAAAGACATAAGAAGATCGAGGACAGTTGACAAAGATTGAGGAAGATCGAGGACAATCGAAGAGGATTGATGATGATGAAAGAGGTTTTGGAGGAGAGCGAGACAGGAAGCAGGTACTTTGAAGCTCTTGAGACTGATGGTAGAATGTCTCCGATTGGAGGTGTTGATACCTGTGAGACCGAGCTTGTAGCTAGTTGGCCAACATGTGGTTTTTGGCTGCAGTAGAATCTAACATTGGTGTTTGAATTGTACAGTTTGAGAGATGTATTTTTTGCTTTTTGGTTTTTTGATTTTTTGATTTTTGGTGTTGCTGGTACTTTTTGTCGAAAGGTGACAATGCAATGAAAACAGTGTTGACCACTGGAAATTTGGGCAAAAAGGGGTTTCTGCCATGACTTTTACCCCAGTACAGGGGTTTTATCCCTGTATTTGAGTATTTTCTGTAGTTTTGTCTTTGATTTTTGAATTTCGCACCCGGGGATTGTGATTTTTGATTTTTGAAATTTTGCATTGTCACTTTGGAACGTCTCGCATTCCGTACTAATCAACAACACTAGATGCCAGGAAGCCTTTTATCGCCCACTATAACAATAACAAAACCTTAGTAACCGGGAGCAACCACGAAACATAACCCTAAGTGATTAAAACACGCCTGAAGGAACTATGGCAGAGAAGCCCCCTTGACTACTCAGCCAATAACAAGAGAGAAACCACGACACTCTATCAGCTCATCCCAATCGGGAAAGATAGAGTGGGCAGAACTACCTCGATGACAGCCACGGACAAAATGACTGTGCCAACCACAGGTTGGCGGACCACGAGAACTGA